AACTCACTTGGGATTCTACCAATTTCTAGTACGATTTCCCATATTTGTATTTTGCATCAAAGTCTAACATGCATGTACTCCATTCTTTGAAGTATTCTTGAATGTGAACTTGATAAAATTCTTTGAATTATTCTTGTATGTTAACTTTATAAGATTCTTTGAATTTTTAACTTATGTTAACTTGATAAGATTCTTTGAAATATTCATGTACATTAACTTTGTAAGATTTTTGTTGTCAAACATCTTTCATGTCTTTGGATGACGTCTATACAGTGTACAAAATTTCATGTCATATCTCTTTTAGTGTTTCACCCATTACAAAGGTCCCTGTATTAACACAATCTGTGAGGTCTTTATATGATGGGTACCATATTTTCAGATTAATATGTATCTTACCATATTCACAGATTTTCTACCTCATTCCCAGATTAGACTTACTTCATTGATGTGAACTCTCTTTTTTGCTGAGGTACCTATATATGACTTATTACATTGATATTAACTTTCTTTTTCGCTGAGGTACCTATAAGACTTACTTCATTGACATTAACTTTCTTTTTCGCTGAGGTCTCCATGAATTCACAGTTGAAGTGCCGGGATAAACCCAGACCTTGGTCCTTTCCTACAACCCGCTCATCTTCTAAGTCACATTTATTTCCTACCAGAATCATAGGTACCTGGTCAAAAAACAAAAAAGTAAAATATTCATCTTCTGCACGTTTTAGTCACATTTATATCCAACAGAATAATAGGCACCTGGTCAAAGAAGAAAATGAGAATTGGTTTACAAGTTAGATGCCAGTACTCATTCAAAATCATGGATACATTGGAATTAGGGAATTTTTTCTGAAAAGGTAGTAAAAATTAACTATTCAGGGCTTCAAATAATTGATGGCCCTTTGACCTTGGGTCTGTAAAATTAGGATTTTGTCTAGTACCTTTTAAAACAGCATGAGCCCTTGAGACCTGTATTTATTTTATGTAATTCAGCATGATCAGAATGAATTAAAATTCATTTACACTAGGGCTACTCAACATGACAAATTTGTGTTCCCAAGTTTTATCTGAATTAAATTTTCTTGTGTGGCTATGTTGTTCTAAAGAAATGTCAATTAAATCATGTAAATATCAGATGAATGTTTCTTAGAACAAGTTGTCTTGATTAATATACTCTTGATCCTTTTTATGTTTTCTTTAAAAATTAAGTAAACAAAATATAAACCATAAACCAATTCAACACCAAGTATGAGTGAAAAACACGAAGGCTTCTCCCGTTTTGCAAATTATCTCATGTTCCCCACTACCGTTGATGCCCTGGCATACTCTGCTATCTAGACAGTGACTTAAACATGTTAAATACTGGTAACTCGATAATTAAATTTGTATGAAATCTTACATCATCTGTGTCTTTGACTCGTAATATCTGTTCTCGTAAATCCTGAAGATCGTTAAATGTGGACTGTGCAGTGATGGAATAAACAAGAAGAAACCCCTGTCCATTCTTCATGTACAAATCCCTCATAGCCGTGAATTGTTCCTGAAATAAAGAACAATTAAGTCAATAATGGCTGTAAGAAGAATGGGTACATGATTTAACTCATTAAACCTAGGGCTCTATTTCATTAAATCTAGAGTAGTTTTCAATACAACGACTATCTTTTTCAACAAGAAATTTTCTTTTTTCCTCTTATCAGAAACTTGATTACAATCATAATGGGTTATTTATTATCAGGTTTGATTTCCATATCCCCCCCCTGTAATTCCCCCTCAGGTAACAACCCCCACCCTCCCACCCTGCAAGTTTTCTCCCTCCCCCAACACTCACTGTCCCTGCCGTGTCCAGAATCTCTAACATACACTGTTGTCCATCAACCTCCACTTGCTAAAAATAAAAAAAAACAAATTTATTTATTTATATATGAAGATAAATTTTAGTATAAATCAGAATGCAACCATGTAGGTTATTAAGTAGCTCAGCATTAAGTCACGTCAGCACAAAGTTTTGTTAAAATTTACTGGTTATAAAATTGTGCCAACTGAATATAATGACTTTTTTATACAAGAGAAGAATACACTGATTGCAAAACAGAGAAAAGTAAGTCATATGTTAACATTTATTTGGTGCTGTCAGTAATTAATTCATTTGGAGACTTTACATTTCTGTGCAGTACATCTTATGGACAATTGGACATTTACCATATTTGAGTTAATGTACATGATGCAGTCATGTGGTTCATTTAGTCACATGTATATATATGTCACTGACACATGTATTGATACACAAGTACACACAGTTTATGTCTTGTAGATGATACACTTAACGTATACTTACCATGCGTACTAAAATACTTCCTTTTGTTTTGTTTAAATTTCTTTTGTGTCCTTATAGTTATACACATAATGATGTCTATCATATCTATAGCTCAGACATTAACTGAATCACTACAGTTCAATGATTTAATAACTTGTCACTTACTTTTCTATAACTGTCTTCTATAGTTGGATCATATTTTTCTACAAATATGTTTTGTACAAACTGCACAGTCTGAAACAAGAACAAATTACAGTGTATAATACTTCAAATTCATAATACATATAATCATTTTCAGCATTTTCAAACAAATCTTCAAAAGAGTATCAATACATAAGAATACCTATGATATATCAACATGATCGAAATTTAACATTATGGGACTTGTGATAGGAATGTTATAGTACACTTCTTTTTCTTTCTTTTTTTTCATTCTTACTCTACAGTTCTCTATAGACCTGAAGGTTTTTTTTTTTCTTATTAGGCAGATTGCTCAGCCAAGTTATAGGTTATTAAGTCGTAAATTCAAAATAATAATAATCACAATATGTACAGTAAAAATAATACCATATTCTTTTCAAATCTCAAAAAGTATACATTTTTTTTTTGAACTTATTGAAAGCTTGCCATGTCATGTTAACAAAGTAGTGAATTCATTATATTAATTCATGTAGATCAAATTAATCTGATTCATCCAATTTTTCATATATAAAACAATACCTTTAATGTCCTTTATTATGTTCATACACAAAATGTATAATTGTAAATATTCCTCCTTCAAAATGTAAATTTTATGGGAAAAAAATGCCTGGACTTTATCGTGTTCATGGTCTATTAAACAAAACTTTCAAAAAAACTTTATCAGATTGTATCATACAAATGTAACCTTTTCCTACACACACTAAAGGAAAGAATTGTAAATAAGCAAGTAAAGATGAGAAAAATCTATGTTATGTTCAAAGTGATTGGGAAGGCCAAAATGGTCAATGGGACTATGGCGCAACTGTCAAAAATTTTAATGGGCCATTTTGAAAATGGATGGGCCATCCATATAATCTGAGGGGCCATTTTAAGAAACAACAAAATGACCACAAATGTGAAGTATGAAATAAAACACGTTTTTAATGAACCGAATCTAATTTTCAACACATGCAATGCTGCAAATTTAAAGAAAACCGCAAATAAAATAATTATATCCGTATCTTGTGTTAAATTACATCGCAATTTGGATTAAAACCACCCTACCCTACAAATTAATGTCGTAATGTATCGAATCACGATAAACCGGAAGCAGTTTTTTGCGGGATTCCACCAATGAGATTTGTTGTTTTAAAATTGATTGCAATAAAACGAAAGTAAAACAAGTAAGGAAGTCAAACGCAAAATGTTTCCAAATCAGATCGCTAAAAATTGAATGCGCACCTTGGCGCAAACATTGAATGATTTAACGCGCCATTTTTCACTTCAATGCGACAATGGCGCCTGGCGCAAGCCCTTCCCAATCACTGTGTTTATAATACGAGACAGATTTTAAAATGATTGACATTTGATTTTATGTACACTACCTATCTTAATCTGAAAGTGTCTGTTAAATATCAGCTGATCAACATTTTTACTGATACCAGCTGATCAACAATTTTACTGATATCAGCTGATCAAGATTTTCACTGATATCAGCTGATCAACATTTTCACTAATTTTGATCAGCTGATCAACATTTTCACTGATATCAGTGAAAGAACATTTTCACTAATACCAGCTGATCAACATTTTTCACTGATATCAGCATGATTAACATTTTTACTGATATCAGCTGATAAACATCACTTTGTGTGAGTACTTAAAAGTGTACTTACCAGGGCACTTTTACCGACGCCACCACTGCCCAGTACAACAAGTTTGTACTCCCTCATCTTTACCTGGGACCTGGCAAAATAAAAGAGAAAAACTTAAACTCAGAAGCTATCAAACACATTATAAAACAATAAAGACTTTATGAACTTAATAAGTTAAACTGGTACTTGTCAAAATAATGAAAATTAATTAAAACATATGGTCTAAACAGATAGCCATGTCGGGATTCCATTAACATGATTAATGTGGAACCCAGCAGGACAAAAAAGTCAAGGAAAGTCAAAGAAGACGAGAAGATTTAAGTCAGAAAAAGAAAGGAAACAATGGGATTTAATGCCGGAGTGATTCTGCTGTCATAGCAAAGAAAACGAGAAGATCCTTAAGTTAGAAAAAGAAAGGAAGCAACTGGGGTTTAACCGTGGAGTGATGCTGCAGTCATAGCAAAATTTTAAAATCCAAATGAAGAAAACTGAAGATCAAATCAAGGGCCCAAATTTCTACAAGGAGATGCAAAATTCAGTCAATAAAACAATAATAAAACTGTTCCAATTCATCCTTGATACATGCGTATCCTTGAAAGTTTAAATTTTCCATAAATTTAATATAACCTCTGTACCTGTACCCACTGAAAAATAAATTTTGTAACATAAAAGATTAAAAAAAATATGAGTAAAGTCAGACAATTGAACAAATACTGATGATGCCAGGCAGCCATTAACTAAATCTGTTAGGGCTGATGTATATGATGCTGATGGTGTATGACAGATTCTGTCTCATTCTCCAAACACGTTGTTTAGGTGAAAAATCAGAAAATTAAAGTCACTGTAGAAATTTCTGATAATTTAGCACACTATATTACGAGGATGGAAAGGAATTACACACTGTGTAATTCCTTTCAATCCTCATAATAGAGACACCCTTGACAAAATCTTAGAAAGATCCTAAATCATTATCATAAAGATCAATGTCCTCATCAGCATTAGAATTTAGCTACACGATGCTTTAACTTGTCAATGTTTACATAAAAAGTCACACTCAGGAGTGGCTTTGGTGAAAAAAGTTTGAAATCCAAAAAATATACATTTCGCCCATACATCATACAGAAGACAAGACGAAACTCCCCGTCAACAGCCACATTACAGAGACATTCTGAGTCTATCTACATACCTATTATCCATATTTATGTAAAAATGAACTCGGGTCAATCGGAATTCAAAAGAAAATAAAACACAAACATAGATCTACATGAAAACAATTAGCCCATTCACAGGCATCTTTAAAACACAACATTCCTCGGAAATTACTCATCGTTTAACAAACTCTGCTGGATTCCTGACTTACGCTTCAGAAACAGGATGGGGATGTTACCGTCAGAGGCGGAAGCGCTTCAAAATGGACGATCGGTTCCGCTTCAGTGATTCAAACAAAATGCCTTTACCCCCCAAACCAGAGTAAACTTACACCAAATCTACTCTATTGGAAAGAATCTTTAAAATTCAATCCCTTTTTACAGAGTCAGTCTGTCTAAAGCTTTTAATCTGCCTGTTGGGGAAAGATGTTTACATGAGAAGTCGCACCCACTTACATCTCAAAAATAGCTAAGTTCAGCGTCAATAAAACGTCTTAAACTCCCTTCTTAATAAAGAGCCAAAGATAAAAGTTACTAAAAATAAATAGCATTAAATATGCATCGCCGTACACCGTTACTTACCTCTGTAATATGAATAATTGTTTATTTCTGTGACGTCAATTTATAAATGTCGCCCTGATTCTAAATTTGGAATTGTACGATCCCACAATGCATTTCGAAGGCATATAAAACGCTTAAAACCTTTTCATGAAGCGTTCTTTTTCCGGAAATATCAATATATTTAAAAACAACGATTTTTTTCTTTTTTATGTTAAAGAGCTAGAAATATTGAGTTTTATCTACTACATATAACAATTTATCAAATAAGGATGAGTAAAATATTTATTCCAAAGTTTTTGGAAAGTAAATCTGTCGGGAATCGAATTTTATATTCTCTATCTTTGCGCACGCGCAAACTGCCTTTTCCTTTCTGCCTTTTCTCCATTTTCTATCGATCTGACTTTTTACACATTCACACATACACTTACATACAGACATTTAAATACTTAAAGCGATACACCTTGATCTTATTTGATCGGCTTTCCGCCGAAATGATGAGAAAGTGTGGGCGTGAGTAAATCCCGTGATAGACCACACCAAAAGATGGCATGATGACGTGAACGGATATCATAGAGGCTCCCCATGGGTGGTCAAATGGCCCCTGGGTGTAGCCGTGGTGATATCATTCAACCTACTGATCCATCAAACTCACACAAAAATATCAAGTATACATGAAAAAAGTGAGGATATAATGAAATGGGTTCGTTTTATACGTAAATAATGACAAACACCATGTTGTAGATATGGATAAGTGTATATTCAATCAGTATTATCACAGCTCTGAAAGATATAAACTATATATTAAATATTTTATAACAATACATACATGTAGATCACTTGCCAGATAGCACGGTCAAAATAAGAGTTATTGCCCTTTAATTGTGCTCATGGATAAAACATCAAGAGTTATCTTTCTTAATCAATAATATGTACAGAGTATAAATACTGGAATTTATAGATGAAACAATAAGATCAAATTATATTGAACTCTTCCAGAATAATATAATAATATGGACAATATTCAAATATATATATACATCATACCTATATGTGATATAGAGCCATTATCCAAATACAAATGATGAATAATCTATAACTCAGTGATCTAGCTGTATATAAATAAAACACAACTTTACTATATTGTTCTCAAAAATATAAAATACACTGATATATGAAATCATTACAGACCGGTCTCTTTATTGAGCTGCGTTAGTAAGATTATGGAAAGAATAATATTTAAACACGTGTATAACCATTTCCATGCAAATAATTTGTTCTACAAGTATCAGGCAGGTTTTTTACCTGGCCACTCAACTGTTTACCAATTGCTGGAAACATACCATAGTATAGTTAAAAGTATTGATGAGGGGAAGTCATGTTGTATGGTCTTTTGCGATCTATCAAAAGCCTTCGATAGAGTCTGGCACAAGGGTCTCCTTTTAAACTGCAAACTTACGGAATATCCGGCAATCTTTACGAATGGTTTAAATGTTATTTAAATAGTAGGAGCCAGAAAGTATTGTATAAAGATATCTTATCATCTAGCATGACCATCAATGCCGGGGTACCGCAGGGCTCTGTACTTGGTCCCCTACTTTTTTTAATTTATGTAAATGATGTTTCAGAAAACATGTTGTCACTATGTAGATTATTTGCAGATGACAATTCCCTACAGAATTCTTCGTCAAATGTTGCCAGTATAGAATATAACATTAACCACGATCTAAATATTTTAGACGAATGGTCTAAAAAATGGTTACTAAAATTCAACCCTTTAAAAACTAAAGCTGTTTTCTTTACACTGAAAAAAGATTTTGAGCTTCCTAAACTTTACTTTCAACAGTGTCAGTTAGAATTTGAATGTTCACATAAGCATCTTGGTTTACTTTTTTCACAAGATTTAAGCTGGTCTGTATACATTGATAGCGTTGTTAATACTGCATATAAAAAGCTTGGCCTTTTGAAAAAGCTCAAATTCACTCTTGGACGAAACACTCTTTTAAAAATGTATACAACTTTTGTCAGGCCCCATCTCGAATATGCCTCAGTTGTCTGGGACGGCTGTACAGTTTACGATATAGAAAAACTAGAGAAAGTCCAGCTAGCTGCAGCAAGAACCATCACTGGTCTCCCGATTTTTATTTCTAGAGAAATTCTCTATTCAGAGACAGGATTGGAACCCCTAATTACAAGAAGAAGAACAGCTAAATTAACCACTATGTTTAAAGTACACAACAATGTTGTACCCGATTATCTTAAACAAATATTTCCAAAAACTCGCGGAATTGAATCTACATATAATACAAGAAACACAGAAGATTACTCTATTCCCAAATGCAGACTTGAAACTTTTAAAAAATCTTTTGTACCCTCTGCAATTAATTCCTGGAATTCCCTTTCTAAAGACGTGAGAGACACAACCTCTATTAGTAAATTTAAAACAAGAATATGTTCACATCCCTCAAAGCCACCTTCGTATTTTTCATATGGGAAACGCTATTTAAATATAATTCATACAAAATTAAGGCACAGTAGTGTACTTAATAATGATCTTTATCGAAGAAATATAATTGACTCTCCTAACTGTTCATGTGGACAAATTGAAGATGTATACCATTTCTTTTTTGTATGTAAAAAATATGAGCGGCCAAGAAATTGCCTCTTAAACAATATTTTACAATATAATCACTTGGCAATAGTCAACTCCCATCTCTTATTATTTGGTAATGATTCATTGTCAGTTGATGTGAATAACAAAATATTTCACTGTGTCCAAAGGTTCATTCGTGATTCAGGTAGATTTTGATCCGTTTTTCTTCTTCTGTTTCTTTGTCATTTAATCATATCTGTACAACTTTCTTTGTTTATGATGCGATAATTTTACTTGTGACCATGTTTATTATTTATTATCATTATTGTCATATATATATATATTTTTCCAAATAACTGTTATAATTGTAATCATTTACATGTATCATTATAGATCTACTTATTGTAAGAACTCTGAATCTTTAGTAGTAAGTGTCTTAACTTGAAATATTTTGTATTAACTTGAAATATTTTGTATTTATCTTGTATATGTATAACTTTACACCTTAAATTGTTATTTTGGCAATCACTAATTTAATTATTGTATATATTACAGGGAGAGGTTTTTTAAGTTGCAAGAACTTGTTACCAATCCCATTGTATAAATTATACAATAAAATATGTTCAAAACAAAAACAAAACATTACTTTTCATTATTTACAAAGTCATAAAATAATCGCAAAGACTGAATCTTCATACTTCATATTAGAATATTAATATTTAGGAATTAAATAGATAGTCTGGTCCTGATTTTTGAAAAGAAGGATAGAGATAACTTCTAACGGCAAATAATTATTATTTGGTCCAGCATAGTTTTTTAACCTAATTCGAGTATGCTGAATCCGAAAAAATATGCTGGCCTTCATGAAAATGGCGTTAAAGAGGTCAAAATGGCGATTCAAAATGGCGGACGTCAAATTTTTCTAATTTTCTCTAAATGGCGTTCAAAATGGAGAAGTAATGAGTGAATATCTAACTGAGTGTAATAAAACTATACAAAATAAAATAGAATGATAACATTATTAGTTTAATTCAGAAAATTTAGTCGTTTCTACACTTAATTCGAATTTTCTCTGATTTATTTGTCTATTGTTTCTTTATTCTTCTTTGTTCAGGATTTTACATTTGCAGATATCCAAACACTGCGGATTTGTATTATTTCCTCTACATTTCACTATTCTACAATTGAATGATGGTGCAGTTGTAAGTTAAAAGTCAAAATGGCGATTCAAAATGGCGGATATTCCTTTTTTTCAAACGATTTCTTAATGTCGTTTACATAGGAGAAAGGATTTGTGAATATCTTACTGAGCGAGTACAATTAACTATGTAAAATTCCAATAGAACACTAAAATGATCACTTTAAATCTTAAAATTTAGTCGTTTTAATTTAAAATGTGTTAATTAGCTCAAGATGGCAATTTAAAATGACGTCATATTCACTCGAATTTCGTGAAGTACTCAAACTGCTTAATTTTGAGTCGTTTTGCAGAAAATAAATTACAATTTGTTTTTTATATAGTATATACTCAGTATATGGTATATTGATTAGTCCATTAAATATGAACAAACAAAAAATACTAGAAAAATCCTTTTTTATGGAAATAGTTAAAACAAACTCGACTTAAGAGTTTCCAAATTTTCCCCCTCATATTTTACCGTGTTCCAAAGCCTTTGAGCCCCCGACCACCTAAAATCACTCCTGAATCCTGTCTTTATCAACTCGGATTTCTACCTCAACATCCCTCAGGACACCATCAAATATATCTGAAGAAATTCTTGTCCGATGTCATCGAATACTTTGTTCTATCTTTTTAGCACTTATAAGAATTTAGTGTTATCTCCTAAAATCTTCTATTCCAGCTTTATTTGCTATATGTTACTGTCTGTCTTCGGAATTTTGGTATTTTCAACACTCAAGTAAAATGGTGCCCCGTGTCAAAGATGACAACCCACTTGGCACGTAAAAAATCGTTTCTCTGGAGTTCAAAAAAGAGTAAGCTCACTGGGGGCCGCCAGAGAAACTTCAAGTCCGATTATTT